TTTTAGAACTTGTAAAAAACTTTTTAAGAGCATTCATACTAGCTCTTTCAAAGTCCAAAATAATATTCTTCTCTTTTATTACTTCTTCTTTTATTTCTTTACTTAACCATTCAAAAAGCTTATTATAAGAATATTCATTTTTTGTTTTCATAAAACAATACAAAAGAGGCAAATTTTTATTTCTAACATTGCACTGTAAGGTAAAAATTTGTTCAAAGTTTTTAGGAGCAGACTTGAAAGTGTAGCCACAAATCATTATTTTGCAATTGATGAGATGCAAAATATTTTCATCGGTTGTAAATACAACAATTCTGTTCTCATCATGTATTCCAGAATCGTAGAACAAAAACTTCTTCCCCCTAGTTGTCTTTGTCAATTCGTATGAAATATCATATTCTTTAACAATTGTAAGATTGTTGGTCTCTCTAGAACTTGTGACCAAACTATTCATCATCTTATAATCTATAATGTTTGAGTAGTTAAATTCAGACATTACATTAGAGATTGCAACTCTTGATGTTTCAGAGGTGTTTAGGATTCTCTGTTTTAATTTACTAGCAAAGGGTAACTTGCTAAATTTAATATTGTCACTGCAATGGTTATGCCCTGAAAATTCCAGTAAAAGACAGTCTATTGTAGTTTTTAATAAAGAAGGACATCCTTCCTTATTGCATCTCCAGACAAATTTACCAACAGAATGTTCCTTGAAATTGTAAAAAAAGCCTTTATATGCAATTTTTTCTTTTCCTCTAATGCTTTTGATGATATTATTTGATAAATTTTTGATAGTAAGGGTAAAAAAATTAAAATTATAAAAAGAGACCGATCTTTTTAAAAATTATTTAAAAGTTTTTAAATATAGGGGTAAAAAATTAATAGGTGAAAATTAATCCATTTTTCACCGCAGAAGAAAAATGAACCTAACGATTATTATATTGAAGTATATATGTATATCTTTACAGAAACTATAATTTATGTTAAATTAAAAGATCATGCCCAAATATTAAACTGTTTTAAATTCTAAAATTTTTTATACTTAAAAAAAAATTTTTTAATTTCTCTGTTTAGAAAAACTAAAAAATATTTTACAGTTATGGTAATTAATTATTTTTTTTTACTTTTTATGTCCTAATATTTAAATTGTTTATTAATATTAATCAATATTTAATATTTGATCAGCTTAAATCTACAAAATTATAGCAAAAAAATACGTTAAAATTTTTTGATGATAGCATTTTATTACTAATAAAACAAACGAGATAGAAGTTTTATAATTATTAACTTAATGTTGTTAAGACATAACATTTATTACAGCGTAAAATATTTCAACATTTAACTTTTAATGATTATCAACTATAACATAAGTTTTTAATGTGTCAAAAAATATTGCTCACTCAATGTACTGCACTCAACCAAATGAATATCAATCATAAAGTTTGCGTGACATTATTTTATAGATATGACAAAGCATAAGAAAGCGAACATTTTTTCACGTTAAAGTTTTATTTCTGTTTACTAAAATGTATAACTATTTAATTGTAACATTCTACGATTTAATTTTATACAAGTTTTTGTTTCTTTTTAAATATGGTAATAAAATTCCTATTATAAATTTTTTAATATATCAAATTAACATCTCCTACTTTAACAAAAAATAATCTCCTAGTATTTTTTAACCATGGTTTTATAATTTAAGATTACTTAAAGATCAATTTCTAGCTTGTTGGTTGGTTAGATATTTACACAAAGAGCTTTTTTAAAAAATTACGCTATAGCCGGGCGCAATCTTTATCAGCATTAAGGATTGTGTAATTTAATTAAAATATAGAACTCTTTATAGCTTTAGATACATAATAATTTTTTTTAGTTTTTAAAACATTATTTATTTAAATAACGTTAATCCTTGATACAATTTAATTTACTACAATTATTAAAAATAAACATTACTTAAATTAAATATTTATTTAACTCATATTCTAATAATGCCATTTTGAATAGATATTCCCAACAAAAATTCTATCCAATTTGTAAACATATACTGAATATAATTAAAGTTGTTTGTATTACTTACTCCCTTTGTATTTAATAGCGCATTCGTCAAATCTGTATCGGCCATTTTGTCACACAACTTTTTTAATTTTTGATAGGCCACGTCATTTCTAGTTATGTAGTCTTTATATACAATTAATACACAATCATCTTCTCTAATATCAAATTTAACTATAGGTCTATATAAAAAAATATTATAGTTTGACAGTTCTTTTACAAACAATTCTGTTTTTAAAATGGTATTTGTTTTTTTAAAATCATTAAGTATCAATTTTAATTCATCATTTGTAAGATTAGCTACAGAGGAAGATTCGAATTTTGTAGCTAGTATCTCAGTTAGCTTCAATGATTTGATATCGAGCTCAACAATAATTTTCAGAGCTTTTATCATTAGATTAAAGTCTTTCCTCATTAGTTTTTCTTTTTTTGGATACAATGATGTATAGATTTTATAACTCCTTTCAATATTAAGTTTTCCAAGTTCTGGGGTAGTCAATGACATTTTAGGTTGTAGAAATGAAAATACATTGTAGCCAAAAATGTCCAATACTGTTATTACACTTCCAATAGCTATAAGTATGTAAAAGAGAACCTTTAAGACATTTTTAAAAAGAGACATGTAAGGGTATTTTTTTAAATATTATACTTTTTTATTAATAAAAAAGGATTTTGTTATTTACAAAAACTTTGAAAAAAGGAGATTTATTAACAATAGGCGAAATTGTTCAATTTATTGGAATAAATAAAAATGGCTAAAGTTTTACTAGAAAAGAAGTTAAATTGGCTTATAAAACAAAAATTTGTGATAATCATTGTTGGGTGTTAAAAATTTAGTAGTTTCAGATACGAACGAAACCACAATGTCTTAAGCGTGTTTATTTGTTTGTTTGCATGTTTCATGTAAAACTATAAAAAGAAATCCTGAATAAACAAGAATGTCATTTATAAATACCTCTTCTAAGTCTTCCAGACCCAAACGGGCTAGCAGTGTACCATTTCCCGAGACAGATAATTGAGAATTGATTCTCTAGCGAATTTAAGTGTTGATAATTTCTCAATACTAACTTTAAGAGCTATATTACTAACAAATCTCATTTTAAATGACTTCACAGTATCTCTTCAAAGCTCAATCCCAACGGCTGTGCTGCCATCCAATCCTTTGCCTCTTCCCTAAGAGACATCTTGAACATGAGTATCAGCTTACCCTCACTGAGTTCGTTCAACCTACCCACCTCCAACAAGTCCTCTGTGAACTGTTGTGGGTCATCTTTTTCTTCATTTCTAAATTGAAGAAAATTTTTATTGTAAGTCGCCATATTGTTGGTATTAAACACGGGTTTATTTATTATAAATTATTTAACTCACAACATGTCAGATATCTCATGATATAGGAAGATATCTTTGACATGTGTTGAAGCCATTCTTACACAAACCATGTACCTCCAATCGTATTTGTATGCACTCCTGTATCAAGATCCTTAAAAAATTTATTACAATTTACAGTTTTATGATTATATTCATTTTAATTATTGTAACCTTTCCGCCGACACTGTAAATTTCTGCATTGGATACAACAGACCAAGTACCTTTTACATGTAAAGTTAATTTTGTTCTATTGTTAACCCGAAATAAAAAAATTTTTTTTTGTTTTCCATCTTAACTAACGGAAAAATCTGAACACCATTCACAAGATGTCTCCTGTTATACTTTTTTTTCTAATTTAAATTCAAAAAGTTTAACTATTTCATCCTCTTGACTAATAAAATAATATATTTTGTAAAAGTTCTCAAGTAAGATTGAAAAAACTCTTTTGATTATTCGATAAACACAACTTTTACTAATTTTAAGATATAAGCAATTAAAGCAGAATTGGTCTTAACTCACCACAATTTTGATATTCTTAAAAATTTTAAATTTTCAAATATTTTTTTTTTACAAATAAAGGTTTGTTCAATTTACAAAAAGCAAACTTTATTCTTGCACCAAAATGACCCATATTTATTTCTTTCATAATTTTTCCTTTTTTTTACAGATCCGCACTATCATAAATAAGTTTTGATTTTCTAAAATTATTGTTTTTACTTTTTTTTTAAGCATTTTTAATTTCATTTTTAAGAAAAAAAATAAACTCTTTTATAATCCTATTTATAGTGCATCTGAGTATATTTTACAGACAATTAGTTATCGTAAAACATAAGTTTGTTAAATAAATTTTTTAAACAATTGATCATAAATGTCAAATCATTTAATCTTTTGACAGTTGTGATCAGATATTTTAATAATTATCAAATTTTATAATGTAAAGATGAAAGTTTTTGAGTTACAACAAAAAGACCTATAAAAAAAAGATTAATTGAAAAGAAGTACATTGGCAACAGATAGTGGCACAATTCTGTATTAAATAGAGTAAAGCTAAGCTGGTTTATTTTAAGAAACTTTTCAGCACGACTTTACAATATTTACATAAGATCCTTTTTCAGAAGTTACGCTATAATTGGTATCGCCTTTTTGTCGGTTTTTAAAAATTTTTGTAGGAATTACGTTTATTTGTGTTATGACGTTTAATTTTATGTTGGCTTGCTATAAGTTCCAGCTAAAATTTTCTCTATATTAGAAATTAATTTTAAAACGGTAAAAAATAATAACTTAATGAGAGTATCAAAGCTAAATGTATAAGGTTAAAATAATTGGGTAACTACTTTTCTTAAGAAAAATAATTTTGTATACAGATAAGATGTAAACAAATTAAAGGTGTGACCATGTGGCTGTTGTATCATGACACCTTTGGAAACATTATAAAAAGTTTTATTGTAGTAAAATTTAGCCGTCTTTATATTACTAGCTTAGTCATTAATTTATACAATAAGATAAAAATTCTTTTATTGAATTTATAACGTTACCTGTAAACATAATTATCAACAAAAATTACTTAAAGGCAATTTTTAGAAAAGAAAACTCTGGAAATCGCCATTTCCCTTAAATTCGTCAAATAAATATTCGATCCAATTTGTAAACATAATCTGAATGTAATTGAAATTGTATACTACTTCTCCTGCCCTTTCATGAAAAAGCGCCTTTTGTAAATCTTTATCAGCTTTTTTAGCACACAATTCTTTTAATTCTTGATAGGCCTTTTTGTTATGAATAATGTAGTTTTGAGGTACAAATAATTCATCTTTATCATTGATCCTAAATTCAAATAAAATACCGAACGAACTAAGAAAAGTAGATTTTGACAGTTCTGTATTAAACAAGTTTGTTTTTAACATATCGTTAGTTTTTTGAAAATTATCAAGCGTCAAATCTAACTTTTCTTTTTTTTTTAAATAATCCGCCTCTAGCAAAAAAAATTTTGTTTTAAGCGTTTTAGCTATTGATAATGATTTGATATTGATATCAACAATTATTCTTAAAGCTTTAACCATTAAATCAAATTCGTACAATGATAAACTGTTAATTTTTTTAAGTTTGCAATTGTCTAAATAGAGTTGGTACGCAATTTCAGTATCAAATTTTCCGACATTTGTGCTACTCAGTGACATTTTAGGCTTTAGGAATTCGAATATACTATAACCTAAAAGCTCTAGTATCACTATCAAACTTCCAATAACTACTAATAGAATTAAGATGATTTTTCCAACTTTTTTAAGAAGAAGCATGCGGGGAGTATTTTTTTAAAAAAATTATACTTTTTCTATTAATTGATAAAAAAGGAAGATTTTATTTACTAAAACTTTGTAAAAATTGATTAATTAACTTTTTGAGAAAGATTTTTACTAGAAATGGGATTAAATTGACTGATAGATCATGGATTTATGTATACCACCATGTATTAAATTATTTACTGTATATTTTTCATATATTAAACTTTCATTGTGTAAATTTTATTTATAAAAAAGACCAGATATAAAAAATAATTTTCTTTTAATATTACTAATAGTTAAATTATATATCGTTTTGGTATTTACAGATAAAAATATTAAATGATAACTTTTTATAATATATAAAAGGTTTTAAAAATTAAAAGTTTTGTCCTTTAACCAATAAATATAAAATGTTTGAATCTGAAAATTTATTTATTTTTTAACTCATTTTTTTAAATTTGTAAGATTGTTTGTAATTCTCATATAAAAAGTAGCATTATTATAAAGTTTACTTCTATATCACGGAATAATATTTTTGTACATTTCCTTCAGTTTAATTTACTTATTTGAATACATAGACGTTAGCTATTGCAAATTTAATTTATAAAAAAAGGCCATTTTGTAATTTTAAAAAATAAATATATGCATAAAGACATAACATATATAGAAAAAGAAAGATCATACATTAAATTTGTAAACTAGTTTTAAACAAGATAGTGTAAGCTGGTCAATATATAAAGAAATTCTGGGAGTGATCAGTTTTTCATCATTTTTGAAATTTTATATCGTTTTTAAAACTTTTCATTTAGAGCCCTTGAAATAGTTTAAATTAAAAATAAAACTTAAAAAAAGGTATACACTTATGAAGATATTTCTGATGTTAAAATGAATTAAGCCTTATAGAAATGATCTTTATTGATAATTATACTCCTGTTTTATATTTATGCAAGCCAAAAATATTTGATCATATTATACTGTAAAGTATTTTCAAGGAATCGACAAGAATGTCTCTTGTAAAATGTAAAAAGTCAACGGATGGTTTTTATGGACTTGTTGTTGCCCTTGTACTTTTCAATGTTCGCCAAAGAAGAATTGTTAATTCAAAAATTATAATTTAAGTATTTAAAATAGCTTAAAATGTTTACAAGGACAAAATCGTCAAAAATATTGCGTACGGCGTTTATGTACATAGAATTACAATTTCAGAATGAAGACTTTAATCAGAGAATTAATTTCTGAATATATGCCTGAAAGGAACGAAAAATTTGGTGGTATATACGTAAATGGATGTTTTTAAATAGTTGAAATAGACAAATATTTTTTTTTAAGTGAAAATACAGACGAGGGCGGCTTATAAATGGGAAATGGTATGTTGGAGGGGTTGATGATTGGTTTTAAAAATGGTTTATTTTACCTGTAGAGAATAGGAATATAACAGCTATAGCAATGTAATTTTAAATTTATTTTATCTTAAGCTAGAATAATTTCAGACAAGCGGAAAGCCTATAATACTGCAATTATAAATATAAGAAATAATGAGGCAGTAGAATACGTTCATGAAATCATAAATCATTCTATAAATATTGTTGACTCGTTGAATTTTGAAATACATAACCAACATATAGAAAGTTTATGATTATGCTCAAAGTTCTTTTTAAGAAAAAAGCTAGTACTACACATGAGCAGCATTTTGAATGTTTAATACAATTTTTATGAGAATATAGTTTAAAAAGGCGAAAAGATTTTATATCCTTGTATTACATTTAAATTTCAAAAATGGTGTAAAACCGATCGGCATCTACAAAAATTTTTCGTCCTTTTTGTCGAAATTATTTAGTAAGTTCTACAAAGACTAAAGCTAATAGTGTAAAAAAATTTATCCTCTCTTATCGCATCTTTAAACAAGTTTCCTGCCATTTTTTATAGAATTGTAAAAATAATCATTAAGAACATTATTTTTCCATTTTTAACACTTTGGCTGATGTTTTAAGAAATTTTTTTTTCATATAAAAACTTAAAAATTACTTGCAAAGATTTTTTATCTTAACGATAATCTGTGATAGGCCACCATTGTCTGTTCAATTATTATCTCGAAGGGTTTTAGTACCTCTGTTATAAAATATAATTTTGATACAAATAACGAATTTGCTAATACACACTATTGTGGTAAAATTACCACATGAAATATTTAATTGACAAATAAATATACCGAATTGGCACATTTTAAAGAGAATCATGACATTTATGTAGATTCTGGAATAAAAGATATTTTGTTAATTTTTAAAGAAGTAATAACTATATAAAGAAAATTTAAAAAAAATCAATTATTTTTCAAAAGTCTTTACACTGCAACAAGCAGAAGCTTAAAGTATTCAAACACTAAACATTTAAATCAAAAGACAAATTAAAACCTTAGAACAATTAGTGTGCTGGAAGATTTTTTCATGACATCCCGGATTCCTTGAGCTTCTGTCAATTACATACAATAAACTTTAGCCAAGATTTAAAAACAGCATTATAATCTGTAAGATTCATATGAATACCATTTGTTTAAACTTGTGGTAGCGCCCAATTTTTGTAAAAATTTTAATTCTTATATGAAAATTTCTTTAGGATATGTGGTCAAAAGAATAAAACATCTGCTTTTAATGACTATAGATTTAAAAATATGGAAAGGGTGTTATTTAGAAACATATACAAAAATCGGGGCTTATGACTTTTTGCAATGAAAACAGTTATTTTACCGAGTTGGTTGAAATGATTACTCTAGATGCCAAGGTTTTTGTTCTTTATTGAAGGGACCTTGCTATACTTCAAATAATATTCAACTAAATTGTTTATTTTATTTTGTATTCCTCTACCATTCTTGGAATCATGCAAAATGTTGTCTAGTTTGTTACTACCATTTCTTTCGTAATTCATTTACCTTTCAACTTATAATTTTTATTTATAATTTTATTTTTGATAAAGAAAAAAAAAATCATAAATTATAAAAAGATCTAAAATACGCCTTAACTTGGCACCCTTAGAAATTAATATAAAGACTTACCTTGGTGGTGAATTTCCTGTATATATTAATTTGTGGTTCGTTGTGATACTCTATATTGCAATTTTTCAAATTATATAGATGTTACCTGGAATATATTAACAATTCGCTAATCTAATTTCAATACAGATGTTTAATTATTATTAGATTATATGGAGAAACTGAATATGTAATAGTAGTCAATTTTACGATCGAGAGATATGATCATACTAAAATACTCTTTGTGGCAGGTTCAATAATGCCGCGGAAGGTTTTCATTCAAAGTTAAAAAGCTAAGAAATAAGGCAAATACTTTAGTGCTAAAAGTTTTATATACTATTAAAGATATACAAATGCACAATTAAATAAAATTTAGTAGATTAATTTCTGTGAGCAAAACTAGAAGAAGAAATGAAAATACGTTAATCAAGAAACAAAAATATAAAAATTTTGGCTTTTATATGAAGATTCTTTGTTTTTAAAAGAATTTATTTATGGACTTAAAAAGGCTATTAAATTGAATATTTAAAAAAGTTTTTTGCTTTTATTTTTCTGGGGGTAAAAAAATTTTTTTGTAAAAAGATAAGTATTTTAACTAATTTATTATTTGGAGATGTAGCACTCACAGTACAATTTGCATTAAGACATCTCAAATGGATTGTATCAAAATCTCCTTCCTCATATATCGAAACATGTTTAGTAATAACTTGTATTTTAGCTATTTTCTGATCGCATATTTGAAAGAAATTATTTACATAACTAGTTTACGCTACCTTGTTAAAAACGGGATTTCGAAATTATATTAGTTTATGTAATTTTTTTTCAAATGTATAGTTTGTCATTTTAATAACTCTTTTTGTAATAAATTTAATATTTACTATAAATTAACTTTTACTGTGTCTATATTCTTAAAAGTATGATTATAAACATGACAAAAAGGATACAAATAAATAAAACTTTACCATAATGTTACCGCTTACAAAAAAAATATTTTACAAATTTTAAAAAAGAAGGGTTAAAAAATTAATAAATATTCAGATTTAAACTTTTTATATACATTGATGATAATGATTGATGATGATAATTTTTTTAAAATCAGATATTTTGAAGTATCATTCCCCTGCGTTAATATCCAAAAAAGAGTGTTAAATTAAAAAGTTTAATTTGTCCTAAATTTCATAAAAAAATTGTTAATCTTATTTGCATTATAAGTATAATATCCTAAGTTTCCTACTATGTATTTAATACGGTATCTTAAACATTTAAAATATTTATAAAATAAATTTTCTTTTTTAGGATCGAGACTCTGGCTTCTATAACGTATTCTTTCTACTAAAGTAATCATTTCAGAAAAAATTGAATCCGAGAATAAAGTTAAAAATTTATATTCTTGATATTTAAACCTATTATCAAAGTAAGGCTGCTCAATTAACTCTTTGATTCCACAAAATTTGCAATCATTAACAAAGACAAAAACCAATTTAATAAAGTTAAGAACTTTTTCAATCAAAATACAACTATTCTCTGATATTTGTTGATGCCTAAGTTGTTCCAAAATATTTGGGATACATAAAATAATATCTCTTTGTATTTGATAAAATCTTCGTCGAAAATCATTTCTATTCTTTATAAAATTCAGCTTATCATAATTTAAAATCTTATAAACATCTATAATGTACTTATTACTAAATTCGGGTTTTTCTTCTGCTTTCATCAAATCGCTAAACCTTTTTTCAAGCTTTCTTAATAGGTTTTCAAGTTCTTGCTCATCGTCCAAAGTTGTATTACGAGATCTTACAAAAGATAAATATGCACAAATGGGACAAGGTTGTAAAATGTAATTTCTAAAGACATCGTCTGTACTTGTATTGGCAATAGTAGTGTATAAACTTACGACGTTACTATTATTATTTTTTAAAGCTTCAAGAAGATTTAAATCTACATTTTTATCTAAAGTATCTGCATTCGTAGAATTATATACAACTGTATTATCTAGTTGTAGGGCATCTGAGCGTTGACAAACAAGACTATTTTTATATTTACAGCTTAAATCTAATGGTTCTGGAAAACTAGATTTTGTTAATTCTTTCTCGCGAATGTCTTTCGGATCATTATTAAAACTTCGCAGACTTGTAGTAGTGGTATCGTCTATACAAGCGTCTTGTTTAAATTTTTCATCGGTAGTATAAACGTTTTGTAAATATTTCATTTCATACTCTTCACTTCCCACATCTATGAAGCTTTCATCTGAGTCAACAGTCGCATCACATTCCTTTTCAATTCTCATTTTTTTATTACAATCTTTTTGAATTTTGTCATCATTATCTTTATCCTTCAATATAGAATTATTAAGAATACATAGGCCTTCATATGTATTAATATTTGATGATAGTACTTTTTTAAAAAACCATAATAAACATATGTATTTCATTTTATGGGGCTTATTAAAAAAGATAGTTTAATCAATAATAAATTAAAAATATATTTCAACCTAGTTTCTATAGAATATCTACTGGATTGTCCTTGAGGATGTTCCCATGTTTAAAAATGAGCTATTAAGCTCTTATTAAATAATTTGGTTTTAAATAAAGTTATTTTATTGTATTTAGTGCATTTTTGATACATTTAAAAGTTTTCATAAATTAAATACTTTTTAAATTAAAAATATTGAACTTTAAAGGAAAAATAAACAAAAATTATTATTAAAATTTCTTGTTATAAATTGGGACATGACATCTACAACTTGGAAAAACACATTTTGTTTATTATGTATTTTCATTCAATTTTTTTATACCTTATAAAAAATCAGTTTTTTACTAGAAATTTATGTTTTAAAGTTTGTATATTAATTTACTAATATTTAAATATCAACGAAATGCTTTTTTACAAAAATAAATGTATGGATTTCTTTTTTTTTAAAAAATAAAAAAAGATAGGTAACATAAAATGATAGTTGTAATTAGTGCTAAAATTTAACGGTCATAAAACTAAAAATATATCAGACTGTCTATGTTTTTTTAGAGCAAAATATTAGCAAAGAAAAACTTATGAAAATATATTTTTAAGCAGAATACAATTTTAAATGAAAAATATTTAATTTTAAACCTATAAAACTAAATCTAAAATTTCATTAAGATTCGAAAAAAAATTATTATTTAGAAATGTCTTTAACTATCATGTACAATGATCATGATATAAAAATCAAGTTATTAGTAAATCTTTGAACTAATAACTTTCAAACAATAAATGAGTTTTAGAATAAAACATCTAGTTTCAATCTAAAATTTAAAATATGAATAATAAAAAAAATTTAGAATCAAAAAGAAGCATAAATAAATCCATTTGCATAATCGAATTCTTTTTAGAAGATAACTTTACTCTGGTGTTATCTGGCAATTTGAATTTAAAGAATGAAGATAATAAAATAGTTAGTAATTATAATATTAAACAATATTTAAAATTTGAAATCAGGATTCCAGGTTAAAAACTGCCACTATCAAAAACGTTAAAAAAATTACAAATTTAAAGAATATCAATATAAAAACATGAATTGAAGAATTTATGCAAATATCTAAAGGCTTGGAATGGAATTTCGAAGAACAAAAGATTTTATTACTAGAAGTTACATTCTCTAAAATTAAAAATGCATAGGGAAAAGATGCAATTCTGCAGCGTGTACTCCCCAACAAAAACAATAATCTTGTTTATTTTTGCATTTTATATACATTAAACAGCTTTTTTTAAATTTTTGTTGTTATAATAGCTGTTTTTTTCAATTTTTTTAAAAAATTAAAATAAAAAATGCATATTTTATTTAAGTTCTAATATGCTCACCTTTAACTTCATAAACTATTCTTGATCGCTTTTTAAAACTCATTGCCAATTTTTGACATAATTCTATAGGTATTGAGTACCAAATCTGTTCAATTTTTACCTTAAACTCGGCCTTTGTATCAAAAATAAAATCAGTTAACTCCCTCTAATTAGGGCCCATAGAGTCTCGATAGGATTTAAATCTGGTGATTGTGGAGGCAATAGCAACAATTCTATGTCTTTCTCCTCAAAATTAACCTTCGAAAGCTTTGAAGTATGCTTATCATCGTTATCCTGTTGGAAAATAAACTTCCAAAGGCCTATTTTATTTACAAAGGCAGTCGGGTTATTTGCACGAATGTCAACATATGCAGCAAAATTCATGATTTCATTAATGGATACCAATCTCCCTACTCCATAATATGAGAAACATCCTCATACGATGCATACCCCCTCCAAGTTTAATTGTTGGTGTTAAATGCTTCAACTGAAGACTGGTTTCTTGTTTTCTCCAGAAAGAAACCTTACAATCAAAGTTAAACGGATTAAATTTGCTCTCATCCGAAAATATAATGCTTTTTATTGCATTATTTAAGAGACAAAGAAAATCTGCTGTTCTTTTGATTCTAGTCAAAATGTTTTTTTTGACAAGAAAGGTTTTTTAATGGCCGAAAATGCCCTAATATTAGCTTCATTTAAAATATTCTTTACTCACATATGCAATATGTCCTTACCAGTACTCTTCTTAAACTTAGTATCTACCTTTCTCAAAGATAGTTTTAGATTGCTTTTATTAATTTTCTTAATTGCTCAACTTCAAAAATATTATAGATTTTCAATGTTTTTTGCCCGTTTTTATTATCCATATTACCAATACTACGATATTTAGACAGTATCCTGGACGCTGTGCTTTAATTTATTTGAAATGGGCCTGTGAGTAATTTGATTTCAAGAAGCCAACTATTTATCTTTTAAGAATTCAGACACAGCCATATGTAGGGATTGGAGATTAACATAATAAAACATTGTTGGAGGGGATAGTTAAAGATTTTTTTGTTGTCTCTTAAAAATATGTTTTTTTTATTTTACACTTTACCCGAAAAATGCTTAAAAGTCACAAAATAACAAAACACAAAATAAAAACTTTCTGTAATTTGCATTGTTGTGTAGATTGTGTCATAAATATTATATTAATTTTAAGTCAAAAAATATAAAAATACTCCAAAAAAATATGAATTTTTATTTTACAGACTGCATATTAGAACCAACATTAAGAGATATGTGGAAAAAGAAAAACATTACTGAAATTTTTAAAAAATTTAAGCAAAAAATATGTTATAAGATGGATTCTACGGCATTTGTTCACAACTTTAAATTTATAAGACAAAAAAACTATGAAAGTAGTATCGTCGAATTTTACAATGAAATTAAAATGAATCTAGATAAATATTCTACCATTAAAAACTTAACAGAAGAGGAATATTATAGAACAATAAAATAGCAATTCTTCGATAACCTATGTTTTCATACGAAAAGAAAATAAAGGATCTACAATTAAAAGATGTAAAGTTCACTTGATTACTAATAATCGATTTAGAAAAAGATTCGTATGAAAAAATTGATCATACAACAAAGAACCAAAACTATTCCATTAAATAAACGACAATTATTCAAATAAAAGGATGTCTTAAAACAAAGAGATATTTAACAAATAAAAAAAATGGTATAAACGATGCAAAAGCACGACACATGACAACAATTATTGTTGGTATAAAGATAAGGATGATAAAGAAAAATTTAAAAAGTAAATACGTATAGATTAAAAGAGGAAAAAGCAAAAAATTTGTAAAAAAAAAGGAATCATTAATGATAAAGAAGTAACAACGCTTACACCAAATCTACCATGCGCGGTCAAATGTCCGTTTTTTAATTTTTTTTAAAATTTCTAGCATACAACCTTACTGTATCATCATGTAGCTTATTGACTTTTATTAAAATATACATACAACCTATTTTTTAATATTAACGATTTTCTTTATTGTATTTTTTCCAAGAAAAAATTATATTGTGTCTAGTCTACCTCGTACGGTCATTTGACCGCTTGAAAAAGTTATGTCAGTTACGACTATATTCTTTAACAATTGCATTCTTGAAATTGTTCCATGAGTCTAAAATGTAATTGTAAACAATCTATAATCTAATCAATGTATCTACATTGTAGACAAATGTATTATTAGTATAAATACATGGCGTTTTCACTATTATTGGAATAAAAGACATAGCGTTTTTTGTACGATAGTACGGGTTTGCGATACGACAGAGAGTATCAAAATTTAAGTTTATAACAAAAATTATAATTATATTATTAGAAAAATTTTTACATGGTATAAGTGATAATTTCGACAAAATTATCAGAGCCAACAACATTTTTCGGTATGGTTTACAATTGTTTTTAATTTCTGGTCTCAATGTTTTTGCCCAGTTTGATTTATATTTTTATAGTTTAGTTTTTATTTTATCATTTGTATAGTCATCCAGAAAATGTCAAGGCATTCGAGGAATATTAATTTGTTAGACAAAATAAATAATATCGACGAGAATTGTTCGGAAGATTATCAAGAAGTATACAATATTGATTATGATATTAAAGAAAATCGCTGTGATTTATTTGACAGAGATACAGATGAAGAGAATATTTTGAATATACGAAGGGAACAAAAAAGAAAGAGATTTATAGTTAGCTCGGTAGGTGAAAACGAGGAAAGGATTGAAACTGCTTTAGCGGAACTGTTTGGCAAAAAATAAAAGAGGGGTTTAACGGTAGAAAAACATCGATTTATAATATTTTAAGAAAATATCAGAGCTGGCAGGATACGCATAAATGAAATATCATGAAAGGCAAAGTTAAATCTGCATTTTCATTGATTATTGAACATGTAAGAGAATATACGGAATCAAAAACATTTTGGGTGTTTAAAACGAAATAGATTTATCTATTGCAAAATTACATGCATTTATTGGACTTTTATATACACGCAGCGCATATGAGGCTAAAAATATTAATTTATCATATTTATGGAACACGAAATGGGACCCATATTTTTCTCGACAACTATGAGTCGAAATAACTGCGCAGAAATTATGAGATTTATCCGATTTGACAACAGAAATCAACTAAGCTAACCCTTACAAAACGATAAGTTCGCATTAATTTCTGAAGTTTGGTATAAATTTATTGAAAGATTCAAAACTTTTATAAACCGGTAGTATATCTTGCTATAGATGAACAATTATTTCCTACAAAAGCACGCCGTAGATTTACTCAATACATGCCGAACAAATTTGGCATAAAATTCTGGTTAGTTTCTGATGTAGGTAGTAAATTTATAGTAAATGGGCTTCCATATTTGAGAAAATATGAAGAGAGAGAATTATCAATCCCGCTTGGAGAGTTTATAGCTTTTAAATCAGCAGAGCCATATACGGGCCATGGGAGAAGTATAATAGTTGACAATTTTTTTACAAGCGCGTCACTAGCGAGTAGACTTCTAGCAAAAAGAACTACGCTTGTTGGAACTATCCGGAGGAATAAAAGAGAGCTATCAAATTTAGCGAGACAAGTAAAGGATGGTATGACACAATTTTTAACAATATTATACAAATCAAAAGATTTTATTCTTACAATTTATAAATCTAAACCCAATAAAAAAGTATTGATATTTAGTTAATACATTCGTCCGTTCAAATCAAAAAAAATCACACCCGTACACCAGAAACAATTAGATTTTACAATAGCACAAAATTCTGTGTAGATATAACCGATCAAATAACAGAAAATGTAGTGTAAAATCCAAATGTCAGAGATAGCCTTTACAGGTATTTTTCAATATCTAAGATTTAGCCGCCATAAATGCTTGGATTTTATATAAAGAAACGACGGAAGAAAAATATTAAGGAAAAAGTTTTTATTTTAATTGGCAGAAAACTTAGACCAAATATAAGAAAGAGAACCAGATAGTTAAAGAATGCTCATGAAAACAATAAATGATACAAATATTCTTCTTCTGAACAAGGATCTTGTCAAATAAGGTATTGTAAAGTCAATAAAACAAATAAAACTTGTATAAAATGTAAAAAATACGCATGTGAAAAATGTGCAACTCAAATTGTTGTAATTTGTAAAAAATGTGGTGCAAATGTATAAAAATGAATAAAATTTATGTCGGGTTTTAAAGAGTTGCTTGGATAAAAGGTTTTATTTGGATAATCTCTGTATTTAGGTTTCTTCCCGAGTCCAAGTATAAGTTTAGATAAAATTTTTTTAATTTTAGGGTAAATTAAAACAAACAAACGGAAGATATATTAAAAATAGATTACAGAAGCCATATTAGAAGAGATAAAAGAGAAGTTAAAAGTTAATTTCTATTAATTAATTGTTTTAAAACAAAAGAATTTATTGAACCAACATTTGGCGATAGTCATGAGCTGACCGCATCATGACAATTTATAACATCGAAAGGCGGTGAGCGACTTTTTATTGTATCATCAGAAAAATATTTTTTTTACTATCTACTTTTACTAAGATACTTACGTTTTTTTGAAACGGTCATTTGACCGCTCATGGTAGGGTTAGGTATGCATAAAATGTCGGTAGATTTTGTTGTATATTGGTCCAAATATTGACCATATATTAATTTAACTAGGGTTATTATTGGAAACAATGACATTTTAGAAAATATTTAGTATTTTTGGAATTTTTAACATTTATAATATTTTCTTCCAAAAATTTTAATAATTTTTTTTATAATTTAATAAAAAAAGAAGGAATACAAGAAACAAAGGAATGAACAAGAAAAAATTTATTACATTAAAATGAATACGAAAAGCATTTTTAAAGATATAATGATGCCTTATAAAGATAATAATTATTTAAATTAAATAAAAGAAGATTATTTATTTGTTTTTACATAGAAGAACATCTAAAGTTTAGGCACCACACCTGATAACTACAATACTGTAAAAAAGGCAAGGGTATATTAATTTTTTTGGTTGTAATACTTTAATATTTGTTGTAAACAATGTATAATATTAAAAACAAACATAATTTTTTTTATATTTATAAAAGAAATATGCTTTATATATCTTTTTCACTATAATTTTAAGCTCGGCTAAATTTTGTAGATATTAAAAGTTTTTATTAAAAAATATTTTAAATTAAAACACTGTTTAAATTTTTTAAAATAAGTTGTACAATAAAAATTTCATAGTATTTTATGCTAATAAGAGGGATTATTTGCAGCATTTTAAATATTTAAATAAAAAAATTCTTTCAAAAAGCATAATTTTTGATAAAACCTATAAATTTATATTTAAAATAAATAAAAATAAAAAGTTTATTGTTAAAAAATGAAAAAAAGCAAAAGAAGAAAAACAACCAGACCACCAAAAACTCCGTTGTAAAAACAAAATATTAATTTTGCGCTTTTATATCAGTCTACTTTTACGACCTTGCTTATAGGAGAAAATGAAGCACACGCTTAGGATACAAAGCTAATGAAGAATATATGTATTAATGATTAACAAGCATAATAAACAGAATACTACTACCACTACCACTATTATTACTACTTAAAATAAGTCTCTTATTAACATCATAGAAACGTACCTCTGAGAAGGCTCGTCAAATTCATATAATTTAACAAAATTTTGTCAAAACTAGTACATTTTAGTAAACGATTCATAAACCAAAAAATTTATTTTAATCAATTAAAAAGCGTGCTGAAAAGTATATTATAAAGCATAAGGTTTTATAAAGAATGTCGTCAAAAAATTTATAAAGTTATATCCAGGTCGTTAAACTCAAAAAAAAATGTACTAGAAACCAATTTTATTTACAAAGCAGATGGCTGCCACCAATCAGTTAAACTTCTCTTTACTCCATTTTTCAAACAAAGAACCATAGCTGTATGACCTTCTTCATCAGAGCTATTATGATCATTAGATGGGTCCTCATTGGGATTCTCATTTGGCTTTTCATCTGCTGGATTCTCATTTGGCTTTTCATCTGCTGGATTCTC